GTAGTTGTTGTTATTGTTGTTGTTGTTGTAGTTGTTGTTGTTGTTGTTATTGTTGTTGTTGTTGTTGTTGTTGTTGGTATTGAAGAAGACGACGGTGACAACGACGATAATAATGATGCCCACTCCTACCCCAGCAACCACCAAAGCAGCCACCACAACAACCCCAGCAACCACCACAGAAATCACCACTACCGTCTCACCTCTCTGTCTTTGAGCTTCTCCCTCCCACTTTCGTACTTCCCGTCCGCCCCCACACGGAGAGTGTACAAAGGCACATTAGGCGAACCATCTGGAATTCGCGACAGCTCCAGTTTTGTGTCCACATTTGCGTTGGAACTGATGGAAATGTTGACTCTCTGTGGGACCTGGTCGTTTTCGAGCTCGGAAGAGTTGTATCTTAGGTGGACTGGAAGGGGCGACAGAATACTTTTGAGTTGTCATCATCATCATCATCATCATCATCATCATCATCATCATCATCATCATCATCATCATCATCATTATCATCATCATCATCATCATCATCATTGTTGAAAACTAGTTACAAATAAAAGTACAGTAAGGTGACTTGAATATTGCGATCAATTTGGATAATATTAAAATTATTCTTAAAGTCCCTCACATGTTTCTTCAAAAAGATGGAAGATAAAAAAATACAATACAAGAACAGACAAACAAACAAACAAACAAACAAACAAACAAACTACAGCAACAATAAATGTGTTCACTAAGCAATAATATAAATATTTCTAAATGGTGAACCAAAAGACTCGAGATCTGAGACGAATTTTGATTTAGAATAAAGCAAGGAAACCAACAAACAAGATGATTCTGAAGTAAAGAGATGTCAAACAAAAGTTGTAAAAAACAGCAATAGCATAAAACAATAAATAAATGGTGAACGGAGTACTAACCTGAGATTGAGTACACCAGTGAGATCTGAATAACCAAAACTGGAAGAGTCAGGCAAGGAAATAGTCCAAACTTGGTCATTGTGCTTCTCGAATGAACCAAGAGGGAAATCTGACGAGGTCAACCGCTGGACGAAGCAGGGATATCGTAGACAGGACGCCTGTGGATTCGACTATATCGTCGTATACAGGTGATTGTTGAAGTGGGTATATCTTTGACAGGTATGTGTAGATGAGTAAAGGATTCAATATTATTTGTGGGGTTTTTTTCTTTAAAACTATAAGGTTCCCTGAAGTTAGCAGCGGTTTCATTTTGCTGTAAATTAGCTTTGTTTGATTACATTGGTGGATTTTGTTACTGAAGAAATGTCTGAGATTAGTTCTTGTAAGGACTTTCCAATTTTGAAAAAAAACCCACAGAAAATTGGCCTGGCTTCGATTAATCCATATTATTTTTGGTAATTTAGTATTGATCTTTTTTGTTATTATTGTTCTCTTTCTCTCTTTATGTACTTAGTTAACTTAGTATTGCCCTTATTGTTTTCTTACCTTTTCTCTTTGATCGTAGTTGCTGATGTTATTTACGTGGTTGGTTGTTTGTTTTTTACGGTTCTGAAAGAGGGTGTCGTTGTCTCTGTTCAAATTCTTATCCCCTCACAACATGGCCGCTTTTTTCTTCTATTGGTCAGTATGTTTGTGACGTAATTGGTGATGAAAATCAGTTGATGTTCAGGAGAAGACGATCAGGGTAAGAGGTGTAGGGTTCTCCCTGTAGATCCTCTTTCTTTCCGTGTCCTGAAAAGCAAAGGAAAAAACGAATCATATTACTCTCCGTATCTACATTTACCACTTTGTTGGTGAGAAATGTATTCCAATTATGTAATATACCTACTGTCCCAGACTCGATGACCGAGAAAACACAATAGCTTCTTTAATTCTAATGAAGATCATTACCCATTTTGAGAGAAATTAAGCTTGATCATCCAGACGCAACAATCTATGCTCACATTTGAAATTGTCAGAGGAGCTCCGCTGCATGAGCCATATCTTAGAGTAACCTAGAAAAGGAACTATGCATCAGAAAATACGCTAAATTCAGGCCTGAAAAGAAACTTCAAGGCTGTTATTCCGAGGAGTAGGATTTAATTCCAAATCTAAATCTAGTGCAGCTTCTGAAAGAGAAATTTTGGGGGTGGTATGAACAGTTCAAGACGAGAGGATGTCTGTCAGAAGGCCACTATGGAAAGGAGTAAGCATTTACAAAACTGCAAACTGTAGAATCAGTTCACGCATGTTAACGACAAAGCACAAATAGTCTGTTCGATGACGTATCAATGAACTAGACTTATCAAAGTCTCCAGCTTACAGAACCTTAAAACATGATCCCC